GGTAAATATTCCGGTCGGACAGGATAACCCCGCACGATAGAGTATATAAGGGTTCAAAATGGTCCTCGTCAAGGTTGAATTTCTAAACCGGGTTAAGCATTTCGCTAGGGATGCGGTCCTGATATTTTTGGGTTGATAGTAGACACAACTGCCAACGTGGCGAGACAGGATGAATTTGTCGCGATCGGTCACAGTCTATATAGCGTCCAGGCAAGGAGTGGACATCAAAGGCTGCGGAGGTCATCAAAGCGCGGAGAGATGCGACTCCGAGCAAACTACTAGTGGATTACAAATACGTAGGAGTCCGCTGTGACCGTCAACAGGCAGCTGGGAGTCGACATGGGAAGATTACGTTTAAATCCGCGTAAATTATCGTTCGCGGATTAGGGAGACTGCAAAAATAACTGCTCAATGTACGAGGATGGGGCTCGAACCAGTATGGATAATTACCGTCAAGTCAGTCGTACTTACATCTGTGGTGAAGTAAGGCAAACAGTATTTTAAAAAAGTCAATGAAGTTCCTGGAGGATAGCCACATACGCCCAAGGCTACAGCACGGTATCAGACAGAGCCGCACATTATTTCCAATTAACCGAAGTGTGCTTATGCACTGGAAGAGGATTTTAGTGTTTACGCCATTCATACTGAACTCAGAAGGTTTTTAGACAGTGTTTCACGCAGACACCCATTCCACAAGCCATTTAAAATTGAAATAAGAGGCATACTGCTCATATCAGTCGCAGAGTTTCTTACGGGTTGATCGTCAGTCATATGCAGTTGTGCCACAAATCAACCCCCTAGCCCCGTTTGAAGTGATGTCCCCAGGGCTCAGTACTTAGGTCGTCACTCTTCTTAGACTATATCGGCGACTCTGCCGATAACCCGGGTTGCAGTGCCATCATGTTTTCCGACGATGTCAGATTAAGGAGAGCCATCAGGTCTGACAAAGTTAGGCACGCAATTCAAGAGTCTTAACCAGCTAAGCTGCTGGTTCGCTCGTGGGCTCTTAATTTTCAACTGCGGTAAGCGCGTGGTCCTAAGACTCCGTATCAGAAGAAATAACGAGGTAGCTGATTTTTTCAGATGCTCTCTTGATAAGAAGCGCCTTCTAAATGTTGAGGCGCAGAAAGACCTCGGCGTCCTAGTTACCGCCTCGTTTAAACCATCGTCACAGAGCTTATCGACAGCTAAAAGTGCGACACAGGTGCTATTTGTGCTGAGACGAGAACCTGTTCAAATTGATAAAGAAATGTCTTGTAAACGTACGGAGCCTTCGTTTGCTCTCACTTGCAATATGCCGTACAAGCCTGGCGT